GTACGCTGCATTAAATGAACTCAGGGGTGTGAACGTAGGGACTCACTGGTCACATACTAGTGACAAGATCGCACTAAAGCAAAGTACAGCCAACAGGAAGCAGTATGTTTGTGAAGGTAGCCACTAGGCCACGTTTAAGTAGACCCGGGTAAGCATTAGCAATAGAGAATCTACCTTCATCTGAACCTCAGCGACATGTTTTTACACAGCTGACACCACACAGCACAAAATGCATGTCTTACACATACATGCAGGCACATATTGGGACGATTTACAAACCATTTTGCAGTCTTTTTGTCTCCTTATGAAGGAGCCAGGAGCCAAAGACTGGGGATTGACTCCGCTGCACTAGGAAAAGGAAGGTTGTCGTGCGCATGCTCAGTAAAATACCGTGTGACAGGATGAGCAGAGGAGACATCGTGCTGCAGAGGACTATCACACTGCCCCCTATCGAGCTGGGGCGGCACTTTGTCACCATAACTGCACTCATCGCTTACACTGAGGAAAATACTGAGGCTAATTTAAATTCAAACCGTCCAAAAGTCTCCCATTTTCCTTATGTTAAAATTTTCAGACCATGCTTTTTCGCTTTTCTATTACTATTAGCTGTGTTTTGACCCTCAGCTCCATCAGCATATTTCTTTGCATTTTCTAAATGTAGAGCTAATTTAGGGCACAAATTCATCTTGTAAATACCTTAAAATTGGTTTCAGATGTTTTTCTTCCTTATTTTCCATATATAGAGAAAATAATGCAGCCACATCCTTAACATCATTGAAATTATTTTGTACATTTACTTAATGTTATTCAATATTTTTTTAGCATTACTTTCATAAAATATAGCCTACTTTCAAGTTAAATTTTTTTCAAACTATTTCAGATTTGAATACTGATGTGCATTCATTGGTTATTCAGCTTAGCTTTTCATTTATGGGACTCAAAGCAATTTGCTGTCCATGTGGCGTTCAAGTGTTTTAAGCCATGAGAACACCGTTGCTAATTAGTCATACTTTTTGTACATTTAACTATCACAATATGAAACAGTAAAAATGTTGACAATTGCATGTAGAAGTGTTAGATAAAATCTGCTCTTATGGAATCTGTAAATTCATGTTGTGATGTTCATATATAATGAATAAATCCAATTTTTTAAACAATTGATTTCAGGATATAATTTCATTTTTTTCTTCATTTGTGTTTTTCTTTTATTCTTTTGATTTCTTTCAAACATGTAACACTCCTACCCTTCTTTTAGCCGCTACTTCGTTTGTAGCTTATTCACACAGTAAATTTCAGCTCTTGCATTTTCTGTAGAAAATCCCCACTGCTATTTTTGATAAACACAGAGTGGTAACCAGGTATCTTAGAAGGAGACAAGCATTTGCATATTCATTCATTTTATTAGGGCCTGAGTGACTCAACTCCTTCATCACAAACTACCTCATTACTGACAGTTATTTGACTGTGCGTTTTTAGCTGTCTAGTACTACATGTTTGACAGACTGAGATGTGATTCTTGTGACAGTGGATCAAATTTAGAGAATTGCCACGTCAGCTGCTTCTCAGTTCCATCTAAGAACAGAGGTGTGTCTTACTACCAACAAAAGATATGCGTCACCGCTCAAATGCAAAACCTGAAAGGTAGGTTTGTATGTCTGTTTGGTATGTGAATTGAGGCAGTCTACTTGGTCACATTTTCATCAGAGCAAAAGAGCTTTGATGCGGTTATTTCATGGTGAGTTTCTGTTGACATCATCAGGGAAAGTTTACTGTATTAACTACAGTACAGTTGAACTTCTTTTTGTCAGTTTCTAGTTCATTTTAGATTAAGATTTTTTTTTTTGTTAGGTTATGTTGTGAAGACTGACTAGAAAGTAAGAATATAGTTTTCATACATTTATTACTGGCATTCTGTGTATCCACAAAGAAGACAACAACTTTTAACTAATAGTCCTGTGTCTAAAGTGTTTTGAAGCTCCAGTCTACTCCACCTGAAGCATTACTTCTTTCAGCAATGAACTTCAGGTAAGACACTCTGAGGATCAGGTACTGATCAAATAAGTACTACACCTACAGTGCTCCAGGAAGATTGAGACACTTTTATTTTTACTTAAGTACACATAGCTCCTCCATGTTTCTTGACCTGTTAATATTTCTGATACAGTGTCACAAAGTGACAATGTGATAATGTATTGTCATTGTGAAAGAATGAGTAAGTTTTGGTTGTGCATGTGTAAGATGCTTCCTTTTCTTGACTTCTTTCTTGTTTCCTATTCTGAGAATGTTACCAAACTTTAGAGTAGAATAAACTGAGAGTGAAGCTAAGTGAAACAGACTTAGAGTAAATCTAAATAGTCATTTACAGGCATTGGCAAACATGTTTCATGTTTGTGTGGGCACATAATAGCAAATTGCCATGTTCCTAAATGGCCACACTAACACTGGTGACAATAAGGTGCAATGATGAAATAATACACAAAGTCTTGTGAATCAGTACATGACCCTCTTGTTCCAGTTAGTGTTGTTAGGTGGCAAACACTATATATGTTTTAGCAATCTGATGGTGCTTTGAACATACCTGAATTAAAAGTCACATTGTTGGGATGTGCTCACATGCCTCCGTAATAAGCTCAGTAAATCACACCAAGCTGTCCAGTCCAGGCATGGACATCACCCCTGTTATGTCCATCACAAAGAAATCTGTGTTTGGTAAATAGTATTCATACTGTTAAAAGGGTAATGTCACTTGGACTATTCCATTTTCACATACTGAAAAAATAGAGTCAGGGTACCACATGCTCAATTGCTGTAATAAAAGCATGAGAGCCATCTTCGGGACAGCTGTTTTGAAAGACCCGAATAGTTATTCTATTTCTCCTTCCGTGACTGACATAATCAAAACCATCTTTAATTTAGAAAGCCAGTAAGTAGCATGATCTCTTCTTTCGGAGTGATCTTTGAGATGCAGTTGAATACCAGGGACACTTGGTGGCAGTGTCGTACCACGTTGAAGCAGAGTGCGCATGCGCATTGCGATGTAAACATTTGGTAGGCCGCTGCCGTCTGTCAGAGCGCTGCAGGCATTTGTGTACACGTAGCGGCATGGGCTGGACCGAGGAGTCAGTGGGAATAAGCTAACTTAACTGGCTAGCTTTCAGGTGGAAATCTGGAAAGGCTAAATTGGGTAATGTAGCTAATGACCTAGGGAAAAGTGTATTTTTGTAATAGTAGTAGGACTACACTTTGGTGCATGGGAAGCAGGCGACTTTTGTTGCGGCTGGCTAAACACGATTCAAGGTAAATGGATGTTTTTATGTTTTTGCGGGCTCTGTCTAATTACTGAAATGGGCACTTAACAAATAAAACTACTCATAGTTGTCACTTTATATCTGTGCAAGTGAGTGGTATGACATTACATCAAAGTAGTGAAGGGTGTCTTAACTTCTACACATGGCTGGTCGCTTTATTAGCTTACTCTACCGCCTGTCCCTATTATTACCTCTCTTAAATGCTTGCTGTTGTACTCTTAGATGGTTTGCAAAGGACTCCGGTTACTGCCTGTAGCAAAAACATCATATGTTAGAAAGTCCGTCATATTTCCTGCTCTTTGATGTCGAATGATCATTTTCCTTTAGTCTCGTCGAGCTCGTCGACGTTAGAGCTTTCTGGAAGACATACACTGCAATAGCGTTGCATTTGATGCTGGATCTCCATTTCACATCACAACATCAGCGAGCCTTATAAGGAGTGGGGACTTGGCTGTGTCTAATGCACAGCTCCTCTTTAAAGCCTACAATCCAAAGTGGTTTTGATAGTTGAGAGCATGATGTGTAGCCTAAGCAAAGGATTTAAACCGCTGGGCAGTGACATTGCTAACTAATAGCTAACAAAGTGACTTGCATGTTTCTACAAGAACGCAGCTCTGTGACTATAAACCCACCAGTGTTTAAAGCTTGGTCAGTGTGTGAGACGATAAGGTGTCGAGAGAAAAGGTGAAACACAATGTAGGCCTATGTTGCTGTGGAAATCAGCAGCTTTTTGATGATTGTGACTTGATACTGGACCTCACAGCATGTGGAAATCAGATGTGGGCTATTAATAAGCAGAGGCAGAAAAATAAGTACCAAGCATTAACCTAAATGGAATAATACTCAATGAAATGTATTCCATTAGTCATTCTGAGGAATGGGACCTGTTATGGGGTTACATTATTGTTGCCCCAGTAGAAGTAATTTACTGATAAACTGCTCACCTAAAACATAGATACAAGCAATAATAAGTCATGAAGGTGCAAATGTGAAACCTTGTTGTTCTGTGAATTACATTAGAGCTCAAACATAAGTACTACTGTAGATATATAATAAGTAGTGGAGCACACAGTTTCACTGTTTACATATTAAGTCTTACCAAATGGAAATACTAGTGCCTCTATTCATATTAACTCATCATTTGATTAAAGGTACTCAGTTTCAGTGGACCTTTGCCAAGAAACGGCTAACTAAACCAGGATGATTCCTCTTATCTGAATTAAGTTGGTGTCTACATAAGCAGCTTTAGTGATACTTCTGTAATTGTGACTTGCTTCTCTAAAAGTGTAAAATGAGTTTCCTGGCTGATTCGTTGTATTTAACGCTGAGCCACTCTTTACTTTTTGTGAAACTAGATATGGCCATGTCAGAGGATCCACGTGTCAGAACTCGTTGCAGTTACACATACAGCTTCACAAGGTTTCCTCTGATGCTCAGCCTCCCTTCCAGAGATGCTGTGGAACATACATTAAGAATTTACAGTAAATCTTTTGGGACACAGAGGAGAAGAACATTTGCACACGTTTTATGTTCTGTATCTGTTTTATAATGTTAAAAATCATACATAAAAAGTTAATGTTGGAATGGATATACAGTAAATGGAGAAGATGCAAATGGTTGCCTTGAATGTTCTGGTATTTAAGATAAGTTAGTGCAAATGTCACACTAATCTGATGCTGGCACATTTACTTTCCTGCACTGCCACAGTATAAAGCTATTTTGTTGCAACACAGATTTTGTGGGTCTAATGTAAAATATTAGTCAGTATTTGTCACTCTCTTTTTGTGGTTACATGATGAGGATAGTCTTCATCAGGACCACTAAAATGCTGATTGTACACTGGGAACATTTGAGCCTCCCTCTGTGTATGAAGTGAAAGACCCCTATACCTCAGTGCGGGAGTGTTATTGTAAGTAGAGCCTGTGTTTTAATACCCTCACGCAGCTCATGGACAGTATGTTGCCCTGAAGGTGGCCACGCCAGACAAGTTTACACTGATTCACTGCTTAGGAAAGCATGTGGAAGGTGAGTAGAATAGAGAGAGACAAGGTAAATTAGCTGTATTTTTCACCTCAGATGACCACTACAAAAACATTCTAGACGCCTGTCTGCTCTGCCTTTGGCCTTTCTCAGTTTTCCAGTCTTCTTCTTACCCGAGTTTCATTAGCTATGCACACTGCATCGCGGGGCCCCTTTGAGTTCTTTAGCGAACAAAAGCAAAAACAATCTCTGTAGCCAGGATTTATAGAGAAGCTTTGATTCAGTTGGCCTGGCTGGGCTAAAGGAATGTCTTCTTATGCCACCTGGACACTGACATCTGTCAGAGCATGGCCTCCCCCTGACCTGACTGTGCCGATTACATTTCTGACCTGCTCATATTTTACTCAACCTCAAAATAAAATGCATTAAGGCAGAGGGATTTTTGGAACATTATAAAAAGCAGGATTTCAATTATTAAGGCTCACAGTTGCTGAGTATTATTAGATCTGCGACACTACACATAGACAAGGCAAGGAGCGAGCCAAAAGTCACATGGACATCTTTTCTTAACCCAGGTACTTCATGTCATCAGTCTCTGAAGAAACCTCATACTCATATTCTCCTGATTGCTTCAAAGACCCAATGCTAGACCTGCTTCTTGGTGCACAAATATAATCATTTGTATGTAATTACAGCAATTTTAATTGGATCCATGTCTGTATGATCTAACCTATATTTAGTATGCTGTCTAGGTAAACCAGTCACAGTGTAACACCATCAGTTCTTTGTTTTATACTCAAATTGATTCATTCATTAGTTAGCTGGAAGCGCTATGTTGCTGCAAAAATGTGCTGAATGAGTAGCGCTGAATGTTGGCACTGCACATCAGTGGATATGCAGGATAAAGATGTGTCTGTTCTGGGTGTGGATCCTGTAATTTGTGTAAATGATAGCTTGAGTGAGTAACTTGCAACCTGCAAGTTCAGATTTACTTACTGGGTGTGTGAGCAGTGTACTGCGTTCGACAGGAATTGAAACACTTAAGTCTAACCCTGTACTGACAGTGGTCTGCACTGTAATCAGATGTTTTTTTATTTTTAAACAAATCTACACCTGTTTGTGTTAGTGCATTTTTATTGCTTCTATCATATTTGTGCCATGTTGGCTTCTATCGGTTTCGTCATATCATCCATCCATGGTGATGTAATGCAGTTGCCCAGTCGTATTGCTGATGGAGGGTTGCTGTCACAGCTTCCTGTTCCTCTGGCACAGGAGATATCCTGAGGCCCCTGAAGTTTAATATGAAATACTATAACCTTTATGATAATGAATATTGATAGACATTGTCACGGCCACACATTTATGAATACAAAACTAAATAGATGCTGTAACATGTTTCAAAAGGATAAAAATCCTTCTACTCATAAAAAAATCATATACTCACGCAGAGGAAACTGAAACACCTTTATCAAAGATTCATCTTCAACCAGAACATGATTTCCTGGCCTTCTGGGTTGAGGAGAGCTGCAGAGATCTGTTGTTTGAATGCTTGGAACGGAAACAAACAAACCGCTGTGTAATGGTAAGAAAATAATTCTACAGGACGGTTTGTTTCTGTATTGAACTTAGGGTTACTCCGCTGAAATTCTTTTTCAATACAAGATGTAACTGTTTGTTGCAGGAAGAAAAAAAGCTTAGCTGGCATATATTCAGTCTACTGTCGCACATTCCTGCCACCACATTCATGTCTCTGGCACTTCGTAGACCTCGTACTCCCAGAGAAATGACTCATCATTATTATACAGAGTACCGTGAATGGAATGGTCAGTGTCTAACCTGATGGCAGTATCCAGACTTCATGTTGGGGTGAAACCAAAGCCGGACTTACTCATTTTTTCCTTAGGCGCGAGGTGAACTTCTTCCTCCTGAGTACCCTAGCTGCACTTCTGCTGAATACAGATTTCAACCGGAGACTTGAAGATGTCCTATCTGTTGTGGAGCACTTTGACCCTATGTGACCGTATGATCAGCATATGACTGCACGGCACTGTGTCGTTATCAGTCGAAGGTTCAAGAGAGTGGCTGCTTTTCAGGAAAGTGTTACTGACATTTAAACTTGATAGATTTTTAAGCTGTTCTCCTGATTTCCTCAAGGAGTGTGCTTGCCTCTGACAGCCAGTGATTTTGGACTTTGAAATAGCAGGTAGGAATGTTTAGAAGAGACAATTCAACAACGATCTAAGGCTGTTAGTAGCCAGATAGCTTTGACTTGGCCATATTTAAAACCAAAAATCCCAGGTATATGTTGATAGTAGTTTGGCATCACTGAGCATAGAGAGTGTGTTCATCAGTTCTTATGCTGTTGTCATAAGTATACCATGAACTGCAAAACTTAGAAGAATTAATGTACGTGTGTGTCGGCTAATGGTATCAAGTCACTGGAACAGAGTGCACTGAGAGTCGTTGTGGCGTCTGGACTGTTGTGCACAACACGCCCTTCCT